CAAGAAAAGATACTCTTGATTCAATCGGATTTTTGCTTAAATCAAGAACCAAGCCTCTTAATTTGAGCAGATTTCCTTTTGATTTAAGCTTAAATCTGATTGAATCAAGAGTATTTTTTCTTGTCAATGTTTTCAAGAGTCTGGACACTAGATCCAATGTGTTTTTTCCCAGTGTTTAAATAATATTAATATGTGACAATGGTCGTGAAACTTACGCGGAACTTAGGATATAGTAAAAATTAAGGGATCACTGAAAAAAAAGTGAAGTTGATTTAACATTTTGGATGTTAAAAAAGTGTGCGACAACTTACAAAATGCTAAATTAACTGCTACAGCAGCTACTTTAGCAATGTCAAGATGTAAAACTGACTGCCATAGTAGGTAATTTAGCACTTTACGAGTTCTCGCACACTTTTTTTACATCCAGAATGTTAAATCAACTTCACTTTTCTTTCGGTGATGCGGTATGAGGAGAAAGCGGGGTATGGTTCGTTTATTACTGATAAAAACCCTCTGAGTGAGGGCAGACTTCACAAACCCGGCAACACCACAAACGGCCAGTTACTCTTTACGACTTGCCTCTGAACCTCATAAACACCCCCAAATATACAATCACTGTCCCGTCGCTATTACAATTAACGCGCATATGCCAATTTGAGTTACTTTTTTCATATTTACAACTACATCGAAATTAAAAAGTTAATTTGTGTGACATACTGATGTAGTTGGTACTGTGAGTTTAGAACCGTCAGTAAATTATATTATGTCCCATGTGCATGCTAGAAAAAAATTGCCTATGATTTGGCTCAAATAGAACATTATCATGATCCATAGGTATAGATTTACATACAGACCCTGTATTTGCGCATTTTTTTAAATATAATGACTCCTTTCGATCCAAGTTTTCTGAAGAAGATGACTAATATCATGAATATAATGCTTGCGCTAACTCTTGAGCGTGGTACTAAAGTTTTTCGACTCAGAAATTTCATACGTCTTGCTTATTAAAGAAAAAGTATACCTATGTCAAATCTTACAAAAGCATCTTCTTCAATAAAATTACTTAATCATTTATTCTTCAATTTTTTATTTTTAGCGAGTAACGAGTACACACAAAAATGTGGGATGAGAACCCGGTGCAGGTAATTTCCGAGACAAATAAATTCATTCTCCAAGGTACATTCAAGTCACGTGGATTTCGGTCATTCTTAAGAGCGAACCCGCACTTTAGAAATTTTTGAAAACCGATTTAATCTTAAAACTACTCTTGGGCTTCGTATTCCAAATCATTTAAGTCGAAAATCCTGGTGAAAATGTGGCAACGGATATTTTGTCACTCATTTTCTGTTGCCGCCCTAAGTCAAGCGATGAGGGAAGATAACGGGACGAGATAGAGGCGACCACAACCCCAAATGAAGCTGATTAGAAGGACTGCGGAGTCTGCATGGCACCCCAACCGGGGGAGATATCCAGAATTGTCACATCATATCAGTCCATTACTGATGATGACTATTTTCTCGCGTTTGATCCTCATTCTTCGACCTTTGACCTAGAAGTACATGAGAACGTCTGAGGCGTGTCCGAGAAATTTTCTCTCGGCATATACATAAGAGTTGCTTTCATAGCGCTCTTAGCCGCTCTGCAACGCCTAACCGCCATAATCTCCCCGGAGGCTTCCAGGGAGCTGAAATTCTCTAAATGGAGAATTTGCACGCAAATTGTTTATTGCTTCATCTGAAATTGCTTAAAGAGCTGATTTATTAATATTTTTTAAATTTTTTTCTGATATCGGAAAGAGTATGAAAATAGATTCCAAAATGAGAAAATGTACCGCATAGCGACGTCATCTGGCGGCATTTCCCATTTAAACATATGCATTTTAGCAGATTGTCATATCTTCTCCAACAATTGTTCAATTCATGAACCAAGGGTATACTCGTGTTCAGTTCATTCAGTAGTTTCCACTTAAGACGAAATTCATCAAATTTCAGATACCTGCAAATTCTCTATTCATGTAAAAACCCTTGGATCCCTTCACTCGGCAACCCTTTCGTCAATTCCCAGGAAGCACTCAATCAAATGTCTCCTTTAACAACCTTTCATCCGTCATCCTGATAAAATGACTACACCAGACTGGCAACTTTTGGTCATGACGTCGAATACGATGTCATTTTCTACTTCCATGGTCACATTGTAAGCGTCGTTTAACCGTTGGTGGTACATGCCAGATCAAATTGACCAGAGACTCGCTAAAAACACGTGCCTCGCGCGGTGTATGACGCTGGTAGTTACATAAGGACTTTAGATATAGTTCTGCAAATACATAGTAAAAATGTTAAATTAAAGACGTCAAATTGAAAAAAAGAGACAAATCGAGTATCACAGAGCCGGAAGATAAAGGAAACGTGTTCGGGCCTCGTTTTTTAACTTCTATCCAGAATCCGAGCAACACAGTATTTGCAGCTAAGAGCGGAGCATTGCGAGTGCACGCCTCACGCCATTGCGCCTTCAATTTTGCAGACGCAACACGGACATCCATCGAGCACGGATAGTTGTATCTCTGCGCCGTCATCAACACGCGTCCTTTCCTTTGCTCCATTGCCATATTCTGTTTGTTTTCGTTTGTCTCATTTGTAGTGGTGCCTCAAGGGCTACGTGAGCAAAACAGTCGAGGATAGCAGAGACGTAATTGGGCCTCGTTTTTTAAGTTTTCTTCCGAATCCGAGTTACATCGCATTGGCAGCATAGAGCAGAGCATTGCGAGTGCCATCGCGCCTTCAATTTTGCAGATGCGACACGCACATCCGTTAAGCACGAATAGTTGTATCTCTGCGCCGTCATCAACGCTCGTCCTTCTCCTTGCTTAGTTGCCATATTAAGTTTTTTTTTCGTTATCGTTTTCTCAACCATTTCTGACGCTGTTCTCAGTGCAATGCATCTTCGGTAGAAAAACGCATGACACTCCCGTATTACGAGCATATTTCACCGATAAAAAACAAAAATGAAACGTATTCCGGGAAAAGTGAATTTTACTTCGCGTCTCTGATCAATAATTTTAATAAAGCATCAAACCATGTATCTCGATTGTTTTAAATGCATCTGCATTTAAAACAATCACTGTCACTCCCTGTCACTCTTCACCTTTAGAGAGATGGCTGCTCATCTTTAAAGTACGAAATCATGTTGAAATTATCTTTACCACTGCAAGAAAATTCTCTGGAATGTCTTGCAAAAATATTTTATGATACCTCTTTAGGAAAAAAATTCAGTAGTAGCGGAAGTTTTGAAAGGCTACAATCGAAATCACTTGCTTTCCAAGTGACAGTTTGGCCGTTACTTTGCTTGAAATTCGTGATTTCAACTCCTTCAATTCTTCAAGTCTTCTTTATGCTTGAAAACATATTTCTTTTTTATAAAATTTTCCTGTTAGACTGTTCCTATACTAACTTAAAGTACGAGCGATAGTTTTTGAACACTACAATTGAGACACATATCGACGGTGTAAGTCGGGAATCACATAACTCGTTTGCGGTGTCTGAAAATCTCCGCATCTATGTTATTTTTTTAAAGGAGAATAAAGTGCCATCATTCCTTGAAGTTTTTGTAGAATTTTCTTCGCACAGAGAAAAAAAATCACGGCAGTTTTAAAGAATTGTTGTTGAGTAGTCTTCTGTTTAAAAAATAAAGTATGACAAGAAGTCTGCGCGGTCGCAAACCGAGTTACGTGATTGCCGACTCACACCGTCGATATTTTCAAGTTAGAAACGGTTCGGCCATCGAAAAATTGAACTTCACTCTGCAAAAAGGAACAACTATTTCTGTTGCAATTTAGAAATAGCGTATCCGCCATTAGTTTACCTATGCGGATGAGCGCTTTTACGTATAAGCCAGATGGTAGTGGTTACTTATAGCAAAATGCAGTCCATTTGAGAGTTCATCTCCTTTAATGGTGGAATTACAATTTCTCCGGGGACTTTTCGCTACGTTATATAATATCGAAAAAATCCAGCTCTTGAGCGGTGATCCGGTGTAAGCTGGCCGGTCACACCGGAAGCTGGATTGGGACTCGGGCAGGCCATCCATAAATGATAATTTATATGGAGCTTGGACGAAATTGAATATCGCGCTCACGGGCCACTGTATATTACCCGCGCTCAGAGGTGCCGAGCAGCAGCCAAGAGGTAAAGAGCCAGCTAACAACCCCGCGTCTGCTTAATCGTTGAGGCTCCCAAATTTATGGAGCTATTTACATGCGGTTTGCACGTTCTCAGCCCCCTTTCCCCCCCGCAAAACCACCCCGTTCCATCCCCCCTCAGAATGCGTCTTCCTTATCGGATTCTCCTCCCCCACCCAAAAACACGCGTACCCAAGCATCTTCGGTGTTCAAGCTCTATTGTTTTGCCGTCTTGCAAGCTCTAATTGTTTCCAAAAGCCACAGCAAGGTTCCGCCTCATTTGAGGCAATGAGAATATTCGACAAGCATATTCCAACGTTGTCGTATCCTGCTCATGCTGCCTCCTAGTTTTTTCTGATTTTTTCTTTAAAAAAAAAAATTCTAATCGACCAAGGTAGATTCAAGGTTGCTGTGTTTACAATTTTTGGGCCGTTTAATAGAACACTACGCAACAAAAACCACTTTGGATAACTCGAACATTTCAGCCCCCGGCTGCGAGCTGATGGTTGAAATTGGTAGACAAAGCGATAGACAAAGGAGACAAAAAGGGCAAAAAAGGTAGGCAATAGACAAACTAACAGCAACCCATGCGAGACCCTTTAGACAGTCCATCTCTTTTAGTCTTCAAGAATCACTCATTTCAACCCACAGGATTACTCTTTACTCCTCATGTGTTCTTTGTCCTATACCTTTGTCTATCAATTTCAACAATCAGCGCGCAGTGGGGCCTCTTAATAGACGTGACTCTGTCGCTCCGATTTGATACTGGACCAATTTACCATTTTCCTCGCGAGACCTCACGGGCAAAATAAAGGAGTCCATTTACCTGTGAGAACAGCGATGCAGTCTGAGTGGTTGGGGTAGTTGCTGGGGTAGTTGGGGGAGTAGAACTCCATTTTCTCGGGGTCGCCCTCGACGAACTGACGACACGCGCCTACGTCCTCGCCCGAGTTGGACTCATCACGGCGGCCACGGATTGCAGTGAAAAGAGGCGGCGTCTTTGTGCTCTGTAACACTTGGCCACCTGAAAAAATCAACAATGTCATGCGTCAGAATCATACGAAACAAATTAAAAAAAACATTTAAATACGTCAAGGTTCAAAGCAGCAATCAATGGTTTCAATGAAAATGCAATTGGGTGCTTTTAATTTTCCCATAACATTTATCCATGTATGAAGGTGGTTGCCAATAGGTAATAAAAGTAACCGAAATTTTGTGGAAAAATGGAGAGGAGAGCACTAAGTAGCCTGAATGCTCGGTTAATACTTTAAGAGGAGTCTTCAGCTAAGTTGGCACTTGTTTACACTCAGTTTGCAAGCGGCCGCAATGCAATCGCCCAATAGCGATCGAGGATTGCCAGTTCATCATCGGACCGCGGTTAATACGCGATCGCCATTGGACGATTGCATCGCGATCGTTTCCAAGCAGAAAGTAAACAAGTGCCAACTTAGCTGACGACACCTCTATTCGTCTTTCTTCAGGTTACATTGACCAAATCTTTGGATTACTTTTGACAAAATATTTGGACTGAAAATTTTCAACCTTGTTTCAAAAATCAGGCGCGAACCGCCAATATTGAAATCGAATCGTATTGATGATGGTCCAAACAAGGTGCAACCTTTGAATGACGTCGAGGGAAACGAGTCAAGCATCACACTTTCTTTATCTCCAGATGTCTGATAGTAACATGCGATTTTGGTCGAATTAACCAAAAATTTGGTCCATCAACCGAGTCCTTTTGGTTGATCCGATCGAAAAAACCCCGAAAGTAACCCGAAGTATATCCATTGTCGACAAATCACATAGCTTCATTCAATTTTAGACTAATTTTCCACTGGACCAACACTCTGTTTCAATAGACAACCCGCAGAAGGCCACACTTACAATTAATTTGACCGCGTCAAGCAGAAAGGAACCAAGCAACATCAGCAATTATTGCCAAATTAAGTCGGCAATTTAATCTTTTACATAAAAAAGGTGGTGCGGATTTTTTCGCAAATTTCAGTGAATTGTCTGCTTAGTGCGAAGCAAATTCCTGACAATTGTCAAAGGAATCCGCACAAACATTCTCTTGTGAAACATTTAACTACCCAGTTTTTGGCAATAGCTGATGTTGCTTGATTCCTTTCTGCTGAACGCGGTTCATTTCACAGTGGTTGATCCTTTTAGATCAGCATTGGTCATCGAGTTTATAGTAATTCAGTGAATTTATATTCAGTCTACAAATACCTCTACGAATTCAGTCCACGCCTCTTCTCTCAGTCTATTTATGTTTAGTCTACGATTGTGAATATGAGTTAAAATAACTCAACTCTGAGGTTTATAATTTATTTTTTCCATCGATCTTATTTATGAAGTACCACAACATCCGAAGGGAACTGACTAAAAGGGGGAATGACGTCATTCATCGACGGCAATCAAGGGCGATCAAAGCCCTATAACGATGGAAGCAGCGCGGCGCCTTACAGCAGGACTATAAAACGGAATGGCAAACACTTTTTGACATCGGGAACGATAAAAAACGATCAAAGGCAATTCAGTTTTATCTGAAAAGTGAGAGCCGTGAAAAAAACCCCCCCAACAATGAAGATTATTGCGGCTGGCAGAAATATACCCCGGTAAACAAAATCATGAATGGGGGACTGGCGCTTTGGGGAGTTACATCATGCGTTGTCAAATTTCGAGCGTTTTATTTTGGGATAATTTGGAGGCGAAATTTACCTACATCGGATACAGCTTTCTTGTGAATGAAGAACAACTTAATCAGCCAAAACACATAATAAAATAACAACTCAATTTGGGGAAAGGCTGCAAAAAACAGAGGATAAATAAAAAAAACCCGGAATGTATCAAAATGTTACAATTCCCATTTATCGTCTGGTAGATAATGAAATTGCAACATTTCGAAACGTTCCGAGTTTTTTTATTCATCCTCTGTTTTTTGCAGCCTTTCCTCAAATTATGTTATGTTATTCTTTTAGTGAATTACGGAGATCAGAGTCAATGGTTTTAATGTTCCGATTTTGATTACATTCCTTATTCAGACGACCGAAGGAGATCATTTAAACTTGTTTCAACTCATCAACAACCCTCTCTTAAAATTGTACAGCAAGACGGTTCTCCTTCCCTACCAAGATTGCTAACCCCAGTCTTTGTTTAGTACATGATGTAATAAAATACCGACCATGAGTTTTTGGTGATGGTTGGAACCACCTTTTTCGAGGCATCACCAGTCCACCACTTGCAGTTACCTACTCAACTACAAGTAAGAAACGTGTTAAGGGATTCATTCGACAAGCAAGTCGATGTTCGGTAGCCTTGCTGGGTACCATCGTCAATAAGAACATAAAAATTTATCCGTGTTAGTTTCCGGCAAAAATTGATGAATCTAAGAGTGCAAATTTTTTTATTGCCGCACCGAAAAAAAAAGTTAAGTTCATTTCACATTTTAGACGTAAAAAAAATGTGAGAACTTATAAAATACTGAATAACCCACTACAGCAGTTACTTTACCAATGCCAATAAGTAAAACTGACTGCTGTGGCGAGTAATTTAGCACTTTTTAAGTTCTCGCACACTTTTTTTACATTCAGAATGTCAAATCGATTTCACCTTTTTTTCGGATAAAGGCTCTCTATTTGTTTTTAACGGACTAAAACTTATCTATATAAAGTTGTCTATATAAAAGAAAATTATCGCTTAGTATTGTCTCTTCCACTTGAAGCACGAGAAAAATGATCTGCTTAAAAGACAGGGAAAAGGCGTCACAATATATTTGGTGCGTCCTATAGTCAAACAAGTAACCGAACGAACGTCCTATTAGTCATTAATACATTTGGTACGTCCTATAGTCAAACAAGTAACCAAATGAACGTCCTATTAGTCATTACGCGGCGGATGTTGGATACGATAGACGTGTATCACGTCACCTTTCGGCCAAAGTATCACAAGCGCCATGCGACGTTAAAAAATTTCCGCCGCCATTTTATTTTTTTTACAAAGAACTTGTTCAACGAAGCTGATCCAAAAATTTTACCGAATTTTCTTTGTGCTGCCGATAAAATTCAGTGAAACTTTCAAACAGATTCAACCAACAATTTCTTTGTAAAAAAATAAAATGGCGGCGGAAATTTTTAAACGTCGCATGGCGCTTGTGATACTTTGGCCGGAAGGTGACGATAAGCGTCGCTGGAAAAAATTTGTGAGGGGACAGGGGCCCATTCATCCCTCTCGGGGGTCTACTGATATTTAGGAACTTTCCGAAGAAGGGGGCCTCCCGAAGTGGCAAACGCCCTTCGGACCCCTCCGGCCACGCCCATGATCTTGCGTCTCCGACGCGAACATTATCGTCGAAGTTCCGCCCGAACTGTCAACCGAGGGAGATTCCGTCTAATATAAAAGACTGCGTTCGCTGTTCAGTGTTAACCTACATTCCGCATTCACAGATCACACGGTCTGCATGAGTAGTGTGGGGGGCTCGGTGTGGAGGGCCGCAACGCCCGGAATCGGGCGGATAGGCATCTCGCGATACCGCGATAGAGGTGCGTGCTCGGCCGGGCTCGGAGCGCGACGATAAATTCCGACGTTATATGCTTCACCACTCGTGTTGTCTGCGTTTTTGGGCTACACGCTCGTTAACCCTGACTTATTTACGTTTGGTGTCCAAGCGGAGTTGCCGCCGCCGTCGCCGCCGCCGCGTGGGGGTGAACGGAAAATGACGCACCGCAGGGGATAGACGCTTCATGGTATTCATGCCTTGAGAGGTTAAGAGATAGGTCAAATGGATCGCATTTTGCAAAAAGGAACCACTAGCATTGCAATGATGCTAAGATTGTGCAACTTCATCCTTTGCAATAAAATTGTGGAAATTGTGAAAAACTATGAAATTTAGATGCCACTGAAAAAAATAATCGGTGGGATTTACCAGAGTTTGGGTGTTATTTACCATACTGTCTACTTGATTTTTTACACAGTGAAGCTGCAGCATAGTTACCAATATACCGGTATGGTAAATAACACGATACGGCTGACACTATGCGACACAGTGCCAGTGTGGCGTTCCCGACTGACTAGTATGGTAATTTCAAGCATCCAGATGCTGCGACAAACCTTGTAGATTCTAAAATCCACTCATCTTATATTATTAAATGCTTTTGATGAAAGTCGTGGATATTTTACTTACATCTTACTTTTAGAAATTCCGTTACATACACAATCAATGGCAGTTAAAGACAGTTTCAACGAGAAATAGCAGATAATTGCTTCACTGATTTCAAGTAAATGATACCAAAACCATACTTGTTATTCGCGTTAAGGTATCATTTACAGACTAAATCAGATCCACGGAAAATTTAATTGCATATAATGAATAGATAGTTCAAAATATACCCACAAAAAGACACTACATGAAAATCCAATCGCACGGTTCACGGTGGGGCAGAAGCTGCCAAATTTTGCTTAAAGTTACAGTTAAACATCAATCCCACGCACATTTGTCTCTTCATCTGTTGAGCTCCGAAAATTTTAACAAGAATATAGATATACCTACGAACGAAGTATTCAAAAATCACTTCTAGTCGATTATTTTCAAATTACTTCCGCACTTTTATGTTTTCGAAATGACTTTACACAAAACCGATATTCACTGGATTGCAGAACAACTTTGCGAAGGTTTTCAAATTTTCAGGATTCCTTCACTTTGCAAGCCAGACTCATTGTAGCAACTCCTAACCTCCAGAAATTGGTCGATACGAATAACGAAAAAATCTCAGAAAATGTATGTGGCAGATCAATATAGATAGATTCGAAGAGAAGACGGTAGCTTTAGGGACAATTCGAACACAAATTTGGGCAAATTACGCGTGGATTCACATGGATTAATATGGATCAATAAAACACAGCCACGGACTCCGACCCTCAACGTGATAAATTTATAACTGACAAACAGACAAACGAAAAATGGCGGACCACAGACCGCAGCGCAGTCAAGCGGGAGCTCTCACCACGCTGACTATACCAGTATGG